AACGGGGCCTAAATATAAAGAAGCTATGAGGACAGAAGTTCCTTTTAGAAACATACGGGAAATGCAGAATTAAAAATGAGAGAAAATTGTTTATAAAATATCTCGATAAAAATTAAAAAGAGAAGAGAGACAGAGATCTAAACCAAGTTAAGTTGTTAAAGATGAACATAGATTTTTTTTTTTAATTATTATTTGTGATCATAAAAATGGAGGAATTATTTAGGCCTGTTTGTTTCTGATTCTCAAATCAATTCTCATTTTCAACCACACATTTTTCAATAAAATAATATTTTCCATCACATCAATATTTTTTTCTTCTTTTTCAACCACACATTTCCCATCATATCACTATTCAAAATCAATTCTTCCCCCAAAAATCCCTACCAAACAGGCTCTTAATAGAAGACATAATGCTGATATTGAGGAGTATTTACAAATGTACCTAAAAAAAATAAGAAGATCCCAATTAAAATTACTTTGAAACTCTCCAATGAGTGGTGGTAGAATAAAAGAACCAGTTATTCCTCAAGTACAGGAATAACTCACAGAATTTTGTCAGAATTTTGAATTTTCTGCATCATGTCCGTCCTCGTGTATTTTCCCTCTTCCCATCTTTGAATCTATTCCCTCAATTTCAAAATTCTGTATAAAATCTGTATAATTATTCTGTACTTGTAGCAAGATTCTAAAAGAACGATCCTAATTTAGAGATGCTAGACGATCACACAAATTAATTTTAATCACTCATTTTTATCATAATATAATTTTAAAAATTTATACATTTAATGCCTGTTTGAACTCTATTTTTTTTTTTAAATGCATTTTGAAATATTAGATTTATAGATAATGAGTGGTTGAAAAATAAGGAAAATTTTTGGATTTACGTATAATATTTTATTAAAAAATGTGTGATTGAAAAAAAAAAGAAATATTTATTTTGAAATAGTAATGTTATTTAACCCACTGTAAATAATTTCACTTACTTTTTAATGTCACATAAACGTCATTTTAATTGGAATTGCAACACCAGTAATGCTACATAACATTATTCATTTTGAAAATAATTGTGATCAAACAGGGACTTAATTTGTCGACAAAAGAAATAGCGGTGGAGGTAGGGTTGGGACAACCACATTTCCATCAAATGTGAATTGGTTTACACCTTAAAAACAGCTGGATTTGTGAACATAGTGGTTGAGAGTGAAGTGACTTTTGTAGGGATCCAAGGCAATTCAATTCTATCTGCATTAAAAGACATGAAAATGATCCAAAATAGCCCAATTAAAAGAGGGCTCAGGTCGCTTTTCACTCAACTTGGGCTCCTTTTGACCACAATGAATATTTATCAATAACTTTTAGCCCCTTTTTTCTAGTTAAAAAAATATTAAAATTTAATTCAAAATTAATAATTAAATTTTTTTAATCATGTACTTCATGGGATTAGTAACTTTTTAACCGCACATCCCATCAACTTTGTCAAAATTTGATTTTTATATAAATCAAATAGTTTGCTTAAAAATATGTTACATTTTGAATATAAGTAATTTGATAAAATAATTATACTGTCTGTATTAATTTTCTTTAGAAAAAATAAAAATAATATTAAGTAATATTATCCCAAGTTGGTGGCACCATGCTATTAAAAAGGCAACAAAATTCATAACAACATTGCTTCCACCACTCAATAAATTAAGAATTTAGTCAGAAACAGATTCAAGATCGGACTACAAGCCAAAATAATGCTTGTGCTTGATAGAGATTAAAATTGATGAAATGTGTAATTAAAATTAATTGTTGACTTTAATTTAAGATTTTACTTGGATTTTAATCCAAACCAAACAAGAGCAATATGTAAAAAAAAAATTAAAATTATCGAAAAAATGAAATGGGCCAGGGATTGGACCCGATTCCCCCACATCCGTCCCCGAATCTAGTTATTTGGAATCTTTTTAAATTGATCCACAAAGAAACTACAAAAATAATTTGAGCAATGCTTGATGTACACTCTTGGGTGTACATCATACATTACACTCTCTTACAACGGTGGGGGATCCGCAATTTAAAAAATCACGGGCTCCACCATCCATTGTGAGAGGAGTGTAAGACTTAATGTACACAAAAGTGTACATTAAGACTTTTTCAAATAATTTATACAGTCTACATTAAATTTATGAGAGATGCTACCGCAACATCAAGTTTCACAAGAAGTTTCATAGCCCTCACACATGCAAGGGGTGGGGCCTGTGATTAAAATAATTGTGGGCCACACCCTTGTGAGAGAGCGGTGAAAAATGGTGTGAAACAAATGCTGTACAATCAGCATTTCTGTAAATTTATTAAGATAAGTTTGAATTTATTACTGTTTCGTATCCAGCTGGCTGCAATTAAAGGTATATAGTGAGTTCATGTTCTTCCATGCAGCTTGCAGAGATAAAGGAGACAGGAAACTATTCAAGGGTTCCAATTTTATTGCAGTTGTTGAACGCTCCTTTTGTCCATATCTCTGAAAAATCTTTAACTTTTACAAATATTGTACTACTACTATTAGCGCCTAACCTACTGTCTCACTGGAAAAGTGGTTCTCCACATTTGAAAAAGAGTAAGTCGATTCCTATCGATCTTCGTTAAAGTAAACACGTTTCACTTCAAATTTTTAAATACTGATCTACGTTGAGACGTAAACTCGAGATTTGAAGTATTTGAATGTGTTTTGTGAAGGTGAAGGTTAATGCACGCGTACCTAAAGATTGCGAAGAGTATTTTTATGTTGAAATGTTTGCAGTGATATCAAGTCCTACAAGTTTGTCAACCGACATCGACTTTGGGTAGAAACCATCGAAAAGACGCTCTATGCATTAGATTGGGGACTCACATGTCATAAAATTGGAAAATCACGTACCAATAATTAAAAATTTTTGAGATACATTGCTACAATTTTCCTTCATGTAGTAAGATAAAGAAGTCTTTAAAATTCCAACATCCCACGTATGACAGGTGTGAACATGTCTAGGGTTTCATAGTCATAACAAGTTTATACAAAAAGGGCACTTTTGGTAACAAATATTCCCTCTATAAATTAGGGGGTGGCACTTGTTCAAGGCACTTATACTCAGAAATGGCGGTAAGAGTGACTCTGGCAGTGCTTCTTTTGCTTTTCTCCATTGCTGAGGTAAAAATATTTACATTTTTTACTACTCATTTTCGTAAGGTAGACTCGACATTATTATATAAAAAACCTAGTTAAAGTCGAACGTGTTGTTTTGTTACTAATTATGTATATTATTTGCTGTCATTCAGGTTTCTTGTGATCCCAAGAATGATGAAGAAATGAGCCATGTCAGCCAGGCATTACATGTAATCTCTATTAATTATTTCTTCATCATTACAACATATTATTCTATTCGAACTTCTTGTAGTCGACATAGATCTTCTAACGGATTTTGACGTCAACAATTAAGAATCTAACGCCACGAGAATCGTTTTTTTAATTTCTTCCTTTGCAGGTGTTCGCTAGAGGCACAGAAAGAAGGCCAATGCATGACGTAGGTCAGTTATCTCAAAACTCGCCCATCAAGGGACAAATCTACTGTATAATTAGACTCTACAAGGTCGACTACTTGTGACATTTTTTCTTGTGACAGTGGTTCGGATCTCGAAATATTTCAACAAAGGTCTATCTCTGGCTCTGGCTCCAGCTCCTTCGCCACATCCGAGCCACATCAACTGCGATGGATTGTGCCACCATAGATGCAGTCTGCATTCAAGGCCAAATTTGTGTCTTCGAGCCTGTGGGACGTGCTGTGTGAGGTGCAAATGCGTGCCACCGGGGACCTTTGGCAATCGAGAGCAGTGTGGCAAGTGTTACACTGACATGACCACCCATAGGAACAAGACCAAGTGCCCTTAGGCCTATCGGCCATGGCCCATGAGGTTACTCAGACGCGCTTGTCTTACGAGGTGTATGTCTCATCTTAGCTATTATAAGGGTTATACGTTGTTCGTAGCTTGAGATCTGGGTTCGAGAGTTTGATCATATGGGATGTATGTTTTCAGTTTTGGTGTTCGAGTTGCTTATATTAACCTTGATGGACAAAGATATATGAAGTGTTTGTTCAATATCTTGTTTAATCAAGTCAACTATGATGTACTAGACATGTCATAATGTTCGATTGAAGCTGCAATGTTTTGTTTGTCATGATGTAATTATAAATAATGATATTGTACATTAAGCCCTGTTTGGTAAACATTCTTTCGATTTTTTTTTCATACTCATTTTTAATAACGCATTATTAAAATAAAATAAAATAAACTATTCACGTAAACCCAAACATTTCTTAGAATTAAGATTAATGTTATCCATCTCCACTGGAATTACAAACACAGTTTAGGTGGTTCTAAATGATAGGTTAAATGAAACGTGAAATTAAATTATTTATTTAATTTCACCTTTCAATTAACGTCACATTAATTCCATGTAAACTGTGTTTGTAATTCTAGTGGAGATGAATAACATTATTCTAAAATTAAGGGATAAATGTAATGGTGGTCCTAAACTTTTTAAAAATTTACAAGTTTACCTAAACATTTGATTTGTAATAGTTTTTGTTCCAAACCTTTCAAATTGGTGCGATGAAATGATCTCTGGATGATTTTCGTTCAAAAATTCGTTAGTTCATCAAAAGTTAGCTTTGGACCATAATTTGATCAATTTTAAAAGGCGTAAAATGATATTTTAACCTTTTATTAATTAAAAAGAATGATTTGCATCAAAAGTTTCAAACTTGTTAAATATGTGCAGGAAATGTACTGTTATTTCATGGACACAAATATATTACCCATATTTGGAGGGAAATGATAGATGATGGAGTATGACTATGTTTCCTTTAAGGATAATGTTATATGCAATCCACGTCGTGCGCCTTTAACTGATGAATTGATGGAAAACATTAAAAACGACCAATATTGCAAAGGTCGCTAAAGGTTAGGGATAAATTCCATTAATTTTTCACGTTGGGGATAAATTCGTAAGAATCTCCAAAGATTGGGGACGAAATGTGCAGATTATCCTTTTCATTTTTAAACGGGACCAATGGTGCAATTTTCCCCATTAATAATTGCGCAGCACTTTCAACGAAGTCTCTCAGATTACCATCTTGGCTAGCTCTCTCTCTCGACATTTTTTGGTTAATTCTTGAAAGGAATGGATTTTGTACTGAACAAAACTGCTCTTTCCAAACTCCGAATTCATTCTCAGGTACATGCATATTGTTTATGTGTTGTTGTTATGCTAATTTTTCATCTACACATCTGTTTATTTGAGGTGGATTGTGGAAATGGGCTATAAAAATGAAAAATTTTATTGCAGAAGGCTGATAATTCATTAACGCTATCAAGGCGCGGATTTCACGTTGAACCTGGGACTCGTGAGAAGGCTGTGAGTACTTCTCCCCTTAGCTTTTATAATTGGAACTAGAAATTTCTGTGTTTGATATTAAAATCTGAATAAAATGTTTATAATTCTAAAATCAAGTCCCCATTGCCCATAGATTAACTTCAATTTTTTATGGAATTTTTTATTCTAATTCTAGTTCCGAACTATTATATTGCTAACCTAGCTTTAGGTTTCTCGATACTTCTATTACCAAGTGTTGCAGGTCTGTTCAATTAAAGTTTCTTCTTTTGGCATCTAATTTATTTTAAGGCCCAAAGAAAATTAATTTTCCTTCTCCTCTGAGCAAATAAATGAGAGTTTGATGTAATTCCAATGGAGGAGTAAAGCTGAATTTTAAGTATGCATGGGTTTTCAAAGGATTGGGGAAAGTTTCGTGTTTGTTGCCTTAGTTTAGGTAGTTTATTCCACTGGATGGGTTTCCTAACTTTTAATTTGGCTTTTCTCAGGATGCATGAAATGCATTTAAGGATTTGTGTAATATATTGGACAAAGTTTGATGTTGGTTTTCAACATATTGGTTATTTCCATTCTATCTATCTGGGCAGCACCTCCTCTGGATAAAACATTAGTGGGTTTTTAGTCTATTCATGAAATGTGTACAAGGATCTAGTTGCATTCATTTTGTCGACTCCAAATTTATTGAGAATGCACTTAGTTTTTTTTTTGTTGTCTATCGTGACAGTTGTTTTCTACCATGTTCATAGACTTGCTGAATGATTCCATTGTATTGGTGTATATAATCTGACTGTTAAAGCTCGCTAGCGCTAGAAACATGAAATTGAGATAGTTTGACTATTTTTCTTCTGTTTACTTTGGTAGATAATTGGGTTTCAGTAAATTAGTTTCCGTTCTTATCAATCTTACGTCTTTTTAACTAGTTGTTTTTACAGGACACGAACTGAGGACTGGTCCTAAGCTTCTTTGTATATCTTTTTCCTCACAAATCTAATAATCTGTCTTGTATCATAGTTTAAGTATCTGCATTTAGAATCTTTTCTTGGACCCTTTGACATCTAATGAGTTGTTTAACATTCCATAACCCGATGCTGGTGACGTAGTTCTGCTAAGCTGATACTCAATGGCCACCACATGTTCATCATTTTTCATCTTCCATCATATTTTGCCACTTAGCCCCTGTCAAAAATCTAATTCAAAATTATTAATTAATTTTAATCATACATTTCATGGGACTCACAACTTTATTAACTTTTTATTTCATCAACTTTTATCAAAATCTACTAAAAAACTGATTTTTTGCTAAACCGAACATAGGCTTAATATTTTTCTGGCTGATCATAAGATACTTTTAACCCTTACATTGGAACGAATTGACATCAATTATCAACATTATTCATCGATTTTCATGTTTTTAGTTTGCTTATATAAATAGGTACTCATCTTTACAGTTGACTAGAGTTGAAGATTTACTCATTTGTTGGCTCAAGATATATGGAAAGAGGTTGCTTTCTCGTCTACAAACCACAGCCTTTTTATTCCATATTTAGTGTGTATGTGAATGTTAAAACCTCATTGGAGAATCTCAGATCACAATAACTGCACCATTCTTATAAATTGGAAACATGTGGACAGTGGAATTTTATATGTCCTTTGCTGGGCCCTGGGGGGTTAGAAGAATGTTGGCCAGATGCTTTATTCTGATACCTTTCCCTACTGAATCAATGCGATTATGTTTGCAGAAAATATTTTTCTTCCAAACCTTATTCTTTATTAATACATAATGGAACCATATGTAACGATTCTTTTAGTTCTCTCTCTCTCTCTCTCTCTCTTTCTTTGTGGCAGTGTGTGTGCGTTGGTCCCTTTTCTCACCTTTCAACAAGTAATTCTTGTCTTATTGTAGTACTGTGCGTTATTTTGAAAGAATCTCATTGTTTCAGCTCTTGGCGGAGGACCCAGCATTAAAACGCTTCAAATCGCACAAGAAAAGTGTGCGGCGCCTCAAAATAGTCGGAGATGCTCTGACCATCTTAGTTGTAGCTGGTATACTAATCCTCGAGAATATGTACTGAGTGTGCTATACTATTGTTTCAAGTCAACTTCTTTTCTCCTAGCAAAGTTTGATTTGGAATAAAAGTTCCATGACTTGAAATTTGATGCAACGTTTGCAAATATGGATAACTTAATGTTTTTGCTTATTTAAATCCCTGTTTTCATTGGATTATTTTACATGTTCTTTTTGGGGAAAGAAGGTAAACACGTTTAAGTGCTTTTAAAATTTATTGAAATGTTTGGATTGAACTAAAAAAATTGATTGTCAACTTAGTATTCACAATGTTGAAAGTATATGAATGTGTACTGCTGCGGTGCCACTGATGGGTTGAAACTCAGATGGCAGATGCTTTTATGCTTTACATCACTTTCGTGTTTAGTATACAGATTGTTCGGGCATCACTTGTAATCCCTATATTCTGATATGTTTGGGAAATGGTATTTCAGTATTGTCACTCGATATTCCATTTTACTATGTGCGATTGACAATTTGCATAGAACATGAATAAACTTCAAATATAAATTTACATTATGGCAAACTTGTTTTTACCCTCTGTTTTTTATGTTTCTTGTTACCAGGTTGTTGCTATGAGATCTATGTAAAAGCAACAATGCGAGAAGACGCTCGTAAACAGGCAAACAAGAATGCTTAATGGTGTGACATCTTTTAAAATGCACATTCAATGGCTTTCTTGATATATTAAAGGAATTGTATGTGCAAGGGAATCAAGTAGTTTCGATATTTTAGTACATCAGACCTCTCTTGTGGTGATACTGAAAATAAAGTTATTTGATTTCTGAAATGACAATAATCAAATGGCAATTGAATGTTATGCGCTTGTTTATCAATTTTGTCTCCAGTACTGAAAGGCAAATGCTATGAGAAAGTTCATTGTGGTTTTTCTTCCTGTCTATGTTTGATTATATATATTCCCAATTAATAGCTTATATCATTATTTTGTAATGCAAATACATCATTTCCTGAGTTTCATCTTTAGTTTTACTTTGCGGGCACTTCATGCTTTCGCTACTCAGGTATCAAAATTGTACTATACAACCCAGAGGTTTCCTGGATCATCTATAAAAATAGGATCTTTAAAGGAATCATTTGAAGACATGCATATAATCTATATTGGAGTAGCGATGGACCACAGTAAAAAATGAAGTGGCACACAGACTTCCGTGCCTAGATGAGACCGGATTCGTTGCTCTTAAGTGAATTACTAAAAAAACATGAGAGCATATATGCGGTAGTGCTCTTTATTTTAAAAAGCTTCCATTTTATAATTTATTCATTATTTTGCTATTTCACACAAGTAATTATTGTTCACAATTTTCCTCTTTTTTATTCTATCACTTCCTCTTCTTTATTTTGTAAAAGTCAAGGAAATGAATAGAAAATTCTACAATAATAAATGAATCATCGTATAAAGAATGGATTTGGCTCTCTACATTTGAAAATTCAAAGTCACTTTCTCTTTAATTTTGATGATAAAAGTGTATGAAACACCTCAAAAAGAGATTTCACTCTTTAAAAAAAATAAATGGTTAATTACGAGCCTATTGAAGATGCTCTTACGAGTAAAGAAAACAACAGCCAAAAACTTGTGTGTTCCTCGTGCAAAACTTGAGCCTTGTGCAAAAACTAAAGTAATAAGAAAATACAAAAATGATTGTACGTGCAAAACTTGTGCACAATAAATAAATAAATAAATGATTCCATTACAATTTTATCTTTGTGCAAAACTTGTGCAAAGAAAATAACAGCCAAATTTTGACCATGTATAACTTAGAAAAGAGAAATACTCGAAAATTGAACTACAAACATGAAGTGCGTGTTTAAAAGACGTCAAGTCGCACATATCTACAACACATCACATAGAAAGCATAGGTCAATGCTTGTACAAACAGATTTCTAGACGAGATCTTATTCATCATCTCTATCATACACAACTGTCATTCAACGACAGATCATAGTTTTCCTCGGAAAACAGGAATGTTCCTCAGCTTCAACCCTTTCCCAGATTCCTCAACCTTCTGCATTAGCCCCTGGTGAACAATAAATCAAAAAATAAGAAACTTTGCGGATGCTTTTAAGAAAAGGGAGGCAAATTCATCATCAAGACATCAACAAAACAACTACAGCATGATCGTGGAAGAAGCTATGTCAAGAAGCAATCTTAAAATTTATGTGAAAAAAAACACTCACAGTACTTCTTGGAGAATAAAGGCACAAAATCTGCACGGGCAATGTGTGCCCACTCTGGGTGGATTGCCATTTATTTCCGAATGGCCTCCCACCGGGACTAGGTTCATCAAAGGCAATTTGTAAGAAAAGAACTAACAACATTTTTAGGCATCAGAAACAACTTTTCCTATTGCTCGTTCCTGGTTAAGTTCAGGTTTGAAAAGCATTTTTACTGATTTGCAGTTTAAAGTGCATTCTGTTGTGTAAATGATGCAGTATTCAGGTGATGCCATCAAAGAGCAAAATTCTATTGTTCAAAATGAGAAGACAGCCACATTCATAGAGTAATAAACGAACCTGTTAAATAAAAAGAAGTCCTACTTCAGCAACAATCTTCACATAGAAATAAAGAAGCATAGTAAACACTAGAACAGTGTATGTTTTAGAGTTTTGCTCAGAAAAACTCTGTGACAACAAGATAATCAATAATTTGTAAGAGACTGAAAGAAAACGTAGAGAAGAACTTTCTGGAACATTTCTTTGTCCTCTTACATGCATTATTTAGAAAAATCGTTGCTTACCTCAGCCTCCACTTCTGAATCTTCATAAGTCTCTTCCTCATTTCTGCTTTCTCTCCTTAGACCTTCTATGTGATGACAAGCAACCATAATTTTTCCTCTTACTTATCTTATCCACCATTTTCTGACTTCCAAGCAAGTCTACTGGACCTTGAGATGATTTGGCATCTGGTAACGATAATTTCAGAGGACTTTTTGGTCCCTGAGATGAGAAATCAGTAGATGTTCCAATGAAACAAGGATATTTTAACATACAGAATTTGAAAAGTGACCCCATTGGGTTGGGGGTATGTAACATAAATGACTTGCCTTTTTTTCATTAAATGTGAAGACCGATGCTCCAGCTTCATTTTCTCTATTTTCATTGAAGTGCTGTGCAGCAGACTGTTGTTCATGAAAATCTTGTTCATTATCCTGATTGAAATAAAATTGACAAAACTATAATTATTTTCATATAAAAAACAAGACTAATTATGGAAAAACAAATAGTCAATTTCCTTTCTATCATTTATTTACTTATTTATATGTTAGGAGACATTGACAAATAAAAGTTAACCAATATTTATAGTTAGATACTCGTGACCAAAATAAAACATGAAGTTGTCTTGGGATTATTGTCATACATCCCAACATTTTTAAGCAAAGAAAATGAGACAGAACAAGACCTCACCCTTAGATCCTTCAGCAAACCTGGTGGCGCTTGATGTTCCCGGTTGACAATTTGTGCACATTTGTGAATCCTTTTGCCCTTCTGAACAAGTCGTTTATTAGGTTGATTTGACTGCTTCTCCATCTATTAACTCATCAAAACAAGTCGATATGAATATTCACGTAAGTGTACCAACTTCGTGGCTAATTAGTTTTTTTTTTTTTTTACCTTCCTTTTGTTTCCCAACTCCCATTGAGAGATGACATCAGCATTGCAACTTTTGACTTTGACATTTTTATTTCTTGTTGCATCAAGAATAGCAGAGAATTGAGAATCAGATGACGGCAGAAACTGCAGTTTTTTTGAGATTCTCCCTTGTGATTGGAGAATGCCCTGCAATTTTTGCATAGTATACATATTTCAAAGTTAAGATAATGAATATTCCAGTTGATAGAAACACAACCATCCAAGTTATTTCTTATACGATCATTATGACTATCACATCTATTTGAAGGAGTCAAAGCCTTATCGACACCAAAAATTTAACGCATGTGCTAGTGAAGGCTTAATAGTACATTTTTATGTCTCAGGAAAAGGTGCGCCTGATTTTCCCTTGTGTCTAGCTCAGTCACCATAAACGCTTGTTCTCCAATTAACAATTGTAAGCTTCCATCTTCCCATGTCACCAATCGTGCATTGCTCTCAACCTGCACATGCAGAATTATTTTATAATAGTTGAAGAAAATGTGCAATTTACTACAAATGCATCAAACACAGTCCAATCAGGCAATCTATGAGGACCAACTAATTTTGAAAATTCTATCGGTGTGAGAATAAAACTAGGGGTACTAGGTTTAACAGTCAAAATAAAAGTAACCACAAAATAAAAATCATCAGTGGTAATGGATAAAATTGACAATGTAATGTCTAGGTATTCCGAAATTAATCACTTTAATCACAAATGGAGCAAGGGGCGGAGCCAGCCGTTTGAAGTTGGGGGGTCCCAGAATTGAAGATATAGAGATGAAGGGGTGGTTGCCCCCGAAATTATTTTTTTTTATACCTTATTAACAAAAAAACCAAAAAACAT